AGTCGTTGTTGCTAATCGTATTTGGGTTTATGGATTGGTTTATCATATTAGCAGCCTAAAATGCGAACATAGTTTAGATAATAAGATTAAAAATTTAGGTACTATCAACTGCACTAGTGAAATAACTAAATCCCCAAGTAGCTGTTGGCTAAACAAACGTTTAAAATCAAAACTCAGTAGCCTACTAGAATGAACACTAAACGAATATTTCTGAATTGAAATTTATAATTAAATTAGGCGTCTCGGATTCTTTAACGTTATGAATTTCTGATGATTTTGAATCACCTAAAGCAACAATACCTATTTTTCCACTGACTAATCCTTAATCAACACTATAACTAGTTAAATTTAATAGTTTCAGGATATCGTCATAAAGCATTGTCATAACTTGACAATCACGTAATATGACTGATAAAATTAATGAAACTAGTAACGAAATCGGTCAACAAATTGACTTATAATTACCATTAAATGGTGTTGTTTTCTTGGTATCTTCATCCATCACAGATGATTACAGTATGTTTCTCTATCAGTTGCTCATTCAGTAAATATCTCAAAAGCTTGTCAGTCTAATTGATGGTTTAGCGACACAATCATGCATGCAAATAATCAGTATAAGCAGTCGAGCAAATCTCCTGCAAAAAACTGAAAACATCAATGTCGAATTTACCCCAACACTGACTAAGGTTCAAGCCATTATCATAGACATGAGTTGGGAGTGTACTCCCCCTGGTTACAACTTATGTTCTCCCTGATAATCACATGAGCATCACTCACTATTAATCATCTTGTAAAAACTTATTTAGCTAAATACATTTTGCAGCACCACATCACTTCGTAATATGACACAGGTCTAACTGATTTTAATAACTTGTAACCACTATATCTTAATTAAATCGTGTTCCGCCTTATGATAAACTGCATACTTGCAACTAACTTGTATGTCCAATCAGCCGGCAAGTATAAATACAAGTAAATAGTCTGCCACAGATCAGAACATTGAGTCTAGAGCATGTCTCTTACGAATACGCTCATGTTTAACGATTTGTTCCTAGCTATCTGTCCAAAATTCATATAATCATCACTCACGTATTTAAATTTTATTTTGGTAACCATTCATGTGTATTAGTAGTATTACCAAATTCTATCACGGTCAAGTAAAAATGAGGTTGATAAAATCTCCCTGTAACTAAATAAACCGTATCAAACTAACTGGAACACTAGTTGGAATTCTTTACCATGGTAATACTTTTGTTCCTTCAGTTAGCCTACTGATACAGATGCAATTGGAAATCAACTCTTATGGACAACTTACCGGCATAATCGTTATCCGATTTCATAATTTAAACCAAAACTAATACCAATATTAACATTTCTACAATATTCATTATTTTAATATTTCTAAACACAAAATAATTACTGCCTATAAGTTAATTTATTAACACGCATCGTTTTATTATTATTATTATTATAATCTCATTTTTTATAGTTCAAATAATCTTCAACCGAATTTTCATTTCAAGCGTTTTAAGCATGAAGGCAAATATTTTAAAATTATTACATGTATTTCCCGACCAGATGCTGCCGCTTTCTTTTTGATTTATCTTTCAGCTTACCAATACCCGGAGGATTCTTAATATCCTTGGTAACCTCCGGCGCGCGACGATCCCATCCAATTTGGTATCGAACCAACATCACGTTGATTCTGGTGGGAGAGTAGTGTAGTGGCATTGGACAATAGCCACACAATCCACAAAGCTGTGAACACGAGACTACTCAGAAAATAGATATTCAATATTTAACGCGGAGAAATACCTAACAATGGAGAAGGCGCGAACAACCAATTGAATGGACTGGGGTTGATCGAGTGGCATGGCTCGGCCATGCAGGCGTGGTCTCTGCTGGATGTTATCCTATATCTCATTCATATTAAATATATTGTTCTTTCTCTAGCCTAACCTCGTTCTACATTATGTATTGGTAATTGATACGCTACAGTGAGTTGGTGTAGTCGATGGTGTGACTTCCACGTAAGATCTTATAGATTAGGCAGTTATATCATGACAAATCTACAAGTTTAGGATTAGGTCTATTATAAGAGCAGTAATAATATCGTAGTAGACCATAATTCTACAAATCTTCTTTTCGGCATATTTAGTTAAAAAATTCTGATTACGCCATCTTGATAATCAAATTCGTACACTGTGAGCCCTGGATTGTCAGTTTTGAGCTGGCTTTGTTTCGTTACTGCGGTAAACGTTAGTACAGTGCTCAGTGATTGTTTCAGTTATGCATTCACTTCCAAATTTATTTTCATACTTATTAGTCAAGCTTGCTGTCATTAGGTTTTTCTCTAGAATACATCAGCGTCAGTAAGGCTCTTAAATTCTTATTTCAGCAAGCTCTAACCCAGTTTTCCAGAGTTACATTTTGAAATATAGTAGATGCTATTAGGCTTGTTTTTATGTCGAACGTTCTTCAGAGGTGTTATTTTATCGTGTTGTTAATACAAGGTGAAGCTTTAACGATTAAGGATTTTTAAAATAAAGTTTGTTCCAATGATTGACACATCAATAACCAGTGATATCACACATTTTGCCACCGTTTCTTATCTTATACTCACTTGTATGCGATATATTTAAAAAGCCACAAATGTTTGGTGTTGATGTCACTGCGTGAAGAACTGAAAGTAAAAGATATGAGACTCAGTTACCTAATTTATGTGGACTCAAACTCCGGTTGTGGCATTACATGGTGGTACTACTTCAGCCTGTTACAGTAGCAACTTTATGGAGAAGCTCAACCCAATTTGAGTTGTCCAAACGTTTATCAAGGTTATAAGATCCATCATTGTATATTGTAAGTATCAATCATTAACAGGACTGATTCCTAATGTTCACCATCAGAACTAGTTTACCAGAGAACATCAAAACTTTGGGCGAGTTTCCGAGTTGTTCTGTCAATAATAAAAAACTTGACCTAGCAGGCTTCTCTGATCGACTACTAACTTAGATGTTTAAGCTTAAACCAATTCACTCTCAGGAATGACCACACGTTGTGAAAGATCGCGAAGATTTGAGCAACTGTATATACCCGTAGATGAGACTTCGAAGATGAATTAATTATATAATAGCATTGACAATGGAAACAAGAGTAATTCTAATGAATTGACAAACAATTTTATCACTGTTTTGTAAATGAATCAGCCCGAAACTTTAAATGAGTGGTCATAAAGACTAATATTTTGACTTAAGGATCAGAGAGGAAACAAATTTTAACTTGTTGCTGGTTGCGAGTGCGCTGGAAGCTCAAGCTTTTTCAGTTAATTACTAGATTCACTTGTGCACTTTTATCCTAACATACTTGAGTAAATTTAGTTATTGAGCTCCATTTAGTACCTTCACTGTTATCCCTCATATTAATAGGGAACGTTATGAATATGAAAACCTAAGGGAGGCCCAAAAACACTCATTTTTGCAAAACTAAATCACAGTGAATATAAAATTAGACAAATCAGTACATACCAGGCTTGACAGCAATTTCAAGGTTTCAGTGTTGATTGATTTACCAATAGAAATGGTGAAATAATATCATATAGACATAGCAAACGGAACTTGATAGTTTCGTAACCTGAACTGATCATAAGTATGTTTTATGAAAACAATTTCAGTAGACAAAAAAACATAAGCGTATTACTGGCCAACGTCAACACTTATAGATAGATTTTAGACTGAGTGACCTACTGCCAAGTTTTATTTGATCATCAAATTCACCAAATTATAACCGCATACTGAAAGGCAAGCCATTTCTCCTTTAAGAATTTTAAAGTGGCATATTAAAAAAATTACCACCCTGAAGGTATTGTCGATGAATTCACTCACAATAAAATGTCTCATATTTGGCGTTTCAGTCTGGCCAGTATATCGGTACAAATTTAACCAACATGCATTGTTATCGAGCCCTAACAAGTCGTAGATACGTACCCATTCTTTAGGTCTACCACTACGGATATCAGATGTTTCAGGCAACTGGGGGAAAACAGCAAAGTTAAGAACTCTCACAAAGTTCTGTTATCTACGAGCACTAATCAGTCCTTTCCATCATTAAAATGTCAAGCACATAAGTACATATGATGGGAGGATACATTGAGACAAGTAATGAGAACTGCTAACTTGAACATCAATATCCTTAAGGAAATTTGGAACGTGACGAAACCGATTAAATGCATAACAGTGAAAATCCAAATGTGTTCAATGCTTGATAGAATGGGTTTGATCAGTCGACATGGACTCAAAATGTGAAATTTACATTCCGGACATTTTGACTTCATTGTTACGTCATGCAGGATTATTGCTCTTTTTATCTTGAAGCGGCAAATAAATCCCAAAAATAAGTGGCCCTTTGAGTCTTCGACATTTTATGCTGACCTCATTAGCTTTAATGGTTGCACTTAACTGAATGCCCTCGGTCACGCATTCTCACCAAATCATGAGTGGATATGTCGCGCTACACATCTACAACCGTTAGCCAGCTTAGATCAAACGCTCCTCAAGGCATCGATAGCCTTTCAAATATAACTTCAAACTCTTAACTTCTAACTTCGAATATGAATAGGATGTCATACTTGGATCACAAAAGGCGCTACTGATACTTGTGGCATTTTTAATGTCGTAACAATTGACAACTTATTATGTACTGTCTCACTTAATTACAACAAATAAGAAATGACCCTCACTGACATACTTCTGAATATATATATATATATATATATATATATATATATATATGGAAAGATTTGTTTTCATCAAGGAACGGTAAGTGGTAAACAATTAGTACTTCGAACTGTGTGCTGGACAACAAAAAGAAAAAAATCGTATATGATTGCTCCGTAGTACAGCCTATTGAAAGCAAACATGAAGGCATAATAGTATATAATATTCGTCCCAATTCCAAGAAATGAAATACTGATCATAGATATTAAAACAAATTAAGCGGGCTTTGGGAGCTGGTTGTTTTTGATTTTGGTGTCTTCGTACTGTGATTGGTCATAATCTCGGTAGGAGTTGTGGATTGGCTTCATAACTGAAGAGAGTCACTCATCCCGAAAATCTACATATTTGGAACTACTTGTATTCCCAGTAACTTCTCTGATGGTTTTAGCTCAGCGTCAGAAAGAGGAGCTGTAAGTGTACCTCAAAACTCATTTACGCATGTAGCAACAGAGCTATTGCCGATTATTTATTTGCTAATGGATACGTCAAAGCTCTGAATGCCTTCAGAGAAGAGTCACAACTGGTAATTTCAACAATATACCCTTAATGATTTGTAGGCAGGGGAAAATGACCGAAAATATGATGGCCTACTAGAGAAAAAGTGGACTTCCGTCATTAGACTTCAAAAAAAGGTTCGATTTGAGTGTATTTAGCTTTCTTCACGTTAGGTTTCGTCTATTTGATTAGTTTGACTAAAAGTGTATTTTAAATTTCATGTTTTGGGTTATCCTCATCTGAGAAACTTGATGCATTATTTACACTATCTTCATAAGAAATTGCTTCGACGTCTGAAAGCTCTTTCATTTCTTATTTTCTGTTGGCTTTGGCTCATCATACGGGGGGGCATGATGATTCCTAACCACATGCTATTATACTGACAATCATGACTTATTGGTCGTGTAGTAGCTTGGGTTCGGATCTAAGTGCTGAATAAATTTTTAACGCTACCAAATGACCGCGTAGACAAGTAAGCCTACTTGACATCCAAGGACAAGTGGGTTATTTCAGAGCTTTTAACTCCAGACTAGAGTTGATTCTATTTCCTCCAGACTAATGAGAACGCTCGAACTCCAAATACTAACAACATTACCACTTTAAATGTATGGCGAGATCTTGCTACCTGACCTTAGCTGCTACTTTGACGTGGTGGTCGTGCTTGCCTGTGGTGATGATTCAACCGAACTGTTTAGGCTGGAACAGATGTTCTTTCTATGTCCTATCATGCCAGACAAGTTGACTGGAGAACAGTAAGGCTAAGAGCAACAGCCATAATCTACCTCAACGGGAGATGCTATCTAGCATAGGAGTAGTCTGGAAGAAAGCTAAGGGCGGCCAGGCGAAAACGTTGCATCAGTCGATGAAGTCACTGGCTTTTGGACTTAGCCATGTTAATTAGTATAAACCACCTGGTTGCAGCGCGTGTACTTATCATAACCAATAATTAGAGGCTTTGAATGACATGGCTCAAAAGCGTTTGCAGTGGCGTAGGTTCATCCATTTTTTGGCTTCTTCCAAATTCCGAAATTCAAAATTCCTCATAACTGCTATTATTTAAATTTATATTTTACCACTAAATCCTATCTTCTATGTCTAATTTTTCCCATTACCATCGGTACTGTTACTACTATTCTGAGATTTAACCGGACAATTCTATCTCTGTGCTAATGGGGTGTGGCAACTTGAACAGATGTAAATACATACCAGATTTTAGGTTGTGACTGACTGAGGTCTTGGCTGTCCTATGCGAATAAATCTTCAGTCATGTTAAAACTGGACATGCAAGAACCAAACAATGTTGGGTTACTAAGTAGAAATCAAAGTGAATATAAAGTATGTCTTTAGAGATATAGTTGGACAGTTAATCTTAGTTCTAAAATCATAGCTTTGATTGAGAGATATAACGTGCCAGATATTTTACCGTAATCTCAGAACCAGTTGTCATAACTTCTGGAGTCGTTTGAAATCGTTTGTAAAAGCAACCAACTATTGAGACCTATGCACTATTGTCTGCGAGTAGTTTTATTTATTTATTTGAACACAAATATTGGGCTGTGATACTGCGCGAGTACCCACACCGAAGTAGGTGGTATTCTTATGGGGCCACACCCGGAGCATCCGACCTACAAGTCTAATTCACAAGGCAGTGGAGCAACATTAGAAGATGAGGTCCCATGGTAGCCAGTGACCAACGATTGGTTCATACACCATTTGTTCCCTCAGGATACTGGAGCCCATGTACACCATTGGTTTGGAATCAGGGTTTTCCAACTCCCCTAGGTGGACTCTCCGTGTCCACCAACCCGGTTAAAGCGTCGGACATTCGCTTTTCGTCTTCTCAATTTCGTAAACAACATTCCCTTCTCTAGAAGGTAGTGAGTAGGACTTCCCTGGCAGTGGCTATCTACGCGTGACCATGTGAGAGCATTTCGAGGAGAGCTGCCCCCCCCCTTCGGCCATACCAGGGCATTTGGAGGCTACAAGTGGTAGTGGAATTCAGCCCAAAAACTTTGCAGCTGAAGAAAATGTATCTGCTGTAGTGTTTCATTCATTAAATTTTCGGATCTGTTCCGCGTGAACCTTGGTCAATTCACTAAGAACCAAAAAATCATTCTGAGCGGAGTCGAACGTTGCGAAGTCAGAATGTACAAGTCATTAGTTTGCATGGTATTTTCTATCACATATGACCTTAATTGTTTTTACAGTTGATGATATGCAACCGAGCTTAAAGTAGTTGCCAAAGACAGAGTTCATCGTTTGTGTGTGGGCTGTGATACTGCCCGGGTGCCCAAACAGAAGCAGGTGGTTTTCTTAGGGGGCCACTCCCCGAGCCTTTGACCTAAAGGTCTAACCCACAAGGCAGTGGAGCATCGTAAGGAGATGCAATCCCATGGTAGCCGGTGACCAACGATTGGTTCATACGCCATTTGTTCCCTCAGGATACTAGAGCCCATGTGCACCATTGGTTTGGAATCCGGTTAAAGCGCCGGACATTCGCTTTTCGTCCTCTCATTTTCGTAAACAACACCCCCGCCACGAGAAGGCAATGAGTAGGACTTCCCTGGCAGAGGCTGTATACGCGCGGCCGCGCTGGGTTTCTTCTGGTTCCTTACAACTCATTGAAGCCCGTCGGTCTACTCCGGGTGACCGTGAGTTTGACCATAAACGAAGGATGTTACGTAAGGAAATCGGGCAAAGCTTGCGTAAGGACCGAGAAGCCTGGTGGTCGATGCGTGCTAATGAGCTGGAAGCAGCAGCTGCATCTGGTAACTACCGGAAGCTCTTCCAACTCATCCGAGCCACTGGCAGCAAGAAGTCTGGTGTGAGTGAAACAATCTGCGAGGATGATGGGATGCCAATCACTAACATCCATCGACGTCTTGGACGATGGGCAGAATATTTCGAAGGGCAGTTCAACTGGCCTGCTGCTCCGGCAACATCGGTCAGACTGTCCTGCCCTCCATGGCCGGTGACGACTGATCCACCAAACGAGGAGGAAGTCCGCAAGGAACTCCAACTCTTGAAGCGTTACAAATCACCTGGCCCAGATGACTTACCTCCGGCTCTTTTTAAAGATGGTGGTGACTTTTTGACTAAGGAATTGACGACATTGTTTACAAAGGTTTGGGAACTAGAGAGTGTGCCAACGTCATGGAATGAGTTGATAGTTGTCCTTATCTTTAAAAAGGGTTCACGTCGTTCGTGTAACAACTATCGGGGGATAAGTCTACTTCCGATTGCGTCCAAGCTATTGGCTTCCGTCATACTTCGTAGGTTGTTCAAAACCCGAGAAAGATTGACTCGCGAGGAGCAGGCTGGGTTTCGTTCTGGTCGAGGATGTATTGATCATATTTTCACCCTCCGCCAAATGTTAGAACACCGCCATACTTATCAAAGGCCAACAATCGTAGTGTTTCTTGACATCAGGGCTGCCTTCGATTCGTTGGAAAGGGCTGTTCTCTGGGATTGTCTATTGAAGAAGGGTGTGCCTGAGAAGTTTATTAACATCCTAAAAGCCCTATATAAAAACATCTCAGGCAGAGTGAGGGCATACAACCACCTTTCTCCATTGTTCCATTCGAGTAGTGGGGTTAGACAGGGTTGCCCAATCTCACCATTCCTCTTCAACTTTGCCATCGATGACATTCTGGAAACAGCTCTGATGAATGTAAGTAATGGTAGTGTGGATCTGTTGCCTGGAGAAAGACTTCTCGGCCTTGAGTATGCGGACGATATTGTCTTACTGTGCGATAATGCCCAAGGCATGCAATCCGCACTTAATCAGTTGGCAATCAGTGTCCGTAGGTATGGTATGTGCTTTGCACCTTCCAAGTGCAAAGTACTCCTACAAGACTGGCAGGATTCCAATCCTGTACTCACCCTGGATGGTGAGCAGATAGACGTAGTCGAGAATTTCGTGTATCTGGGTAGCTGCATAAGTGCTGGTGGGGGTGTGAGTGATGAGGTCAATGAACGTATAGTGAAAGCCAGAGCGGCTTATGCCAATCTGGGACACCTCTGGCGCCTTCGTGATGTTAGTCTGACTGTAAAAGGTCGGATCTACAACGCGTCGGTGAGAGCAGTTTTGCTCTATGCTTGTGAAACCTGGTCTCTCCGAGTTGAGGACGTTAGACGACTCTCTGTGTTCGATCATCGCTGTCTCCGAAGGATTGCTGACATTCAGTGGCAACACCATGTCAGTAATGCAGATGTTCGGCATCGTGTGTTCGGGCGCACAGACGATAATCCAATTGGTGTCACCATCTTGAAACACCGACTTCGGTGGCTTGAACATGTTCTCCGAATGTCGTCCCAGAGAATTCCACGTCGTGCATTATTTGCCGACTCTGGGACTGGTTGGAAAAAGCGGAGAGGTGGTCAGTGCATGACATGGAGTCGTGGTATGAAAGAAAGCTGCAAAGGAATGGCTTCTGTCGGTCCTTCACGACTCCCTGGTTGGGGTCTGAGAGATGGTGCTACACAGTGGCTAGAGACGTTATCAGATATGGCTCAGAATAGAAGCCGATGGCGATCCTGCTGTAACCTTCTTTTACTTTCTTCATAAAAAGTGGTTCTGTCTCCCTTACCTGAAAGATTTCTTCCGATTGTACCTTTGCGTTCCCTGATTACTAGCACATTACCTTACACCAATCTCTTCGTTATTGTTCTCTCTTTTTTTTGTTGCGCTCCTTAGCTTTTTTTTCTTTCTTTGTATTCCTCTCGAATTTTCATTGTTTTGTGTGGCGCATATATATTGGCGCTCTCTTGTACCAATATTCATGTGTCCAAATAAATAATAAATAAATAACCGAGCTTAAGATATTGGTTCGAACACTCGGCCTTCGACTATTAAGTTATGGTATAGCATACTAGTTAATACAAAATCAAAAAGTTACTCTTAAGACTTAACGAGAAGTTTTGTTTTGTGGTTTACTATTTATGTGTCTGGGTATCAATGTATCCCAGTCATCTGTTTTTGCGAACATCGTGGGTTAATTTTAAATCTCAGAAGAAATAACATTCGTATGATCGGTTTTGGTTGTCGTTGAATAACTTTGGTAGGGAGGTTTAATTTACAAAATGTGTATAATATATCCTATTACTAAGCAGTAAATCAGCTTTTAGTTTTATGGTCTCGCTAGACTTTTTACTTTGTTCTAGGTCATGGATTTAGAAGCTAAGCTTAACGAGGCTGAGAAGGAGTTTCAGTCCATGCAAAATGCCGTTGGTTTCGGTATAGCAGGTGCTGCACCTGGAAGTGGTCTTTCAGACAGGGGTGATCGACGTGATGTTGATGCTATTCCGAGACCTCCAGCCAAGTTTACACTTACAGGTCATCGTTCTCCGATAACTCGTGTACTCTTTCATCCACACTACAATGTTTTTGTATCAGCAAGTGAAGATGCCTCAATCAAAGTTAGTCCATTCTGTTTTAAATTTACTTTTGTTGAATGGCACATATTTCCAAATTAAAATTGGTTACCATTCTTTAGGAAGTGGTTTACAGTATGACTTAGAATAATATTTTTTATCAGGTTAGAATACTAGTTGATTCTGTTCAGCATAACTTTCTAGTTTTTTAGGATTGGTGAAATGTTTATTTCGGTAATCTTCAGGGATTAGTTATCAAATATATTGAACCTCTTAGCAACCAAATTCCACTACTTATAAAAACCTTAGTCTAAATTTGAGTGAATAGTTTTGATAGTAGTTGAAAACCATGTAAGATATTAAGGATAGATTTATATTGGTACCAATCTCAGCGATTGAAGTTCCGCTTGGTAGTATGGTTCAGATATTTTTAAGGGAAATAATCTAATATGATCGGACGGTTGGTTTAGTATACATCTGACCTGTGAATAATGTGTTTATGTTCGATCATATTGATATTTGATTACTTCCCCCAAAAACCCTGGGCCGCACTGTCGAGAAAAACGGATTTATTTTAATTTCAGTCACTGAGATCTTTACAAATACAATTTCTTCTCTAAATTTCCCTTCATTTTTATGTAAATTCGTTTTTGTAGGGTTTTCATCTTATCCAAACTATCCTTTAAAATTATTAGTGTATATTATGTTCTCCACCGTCCAGTAATATCTAGACTCTACTTCACTCTACTCGTTTCAAGTCAGAATTGAGTCGGAACAATACATCTTTAAATAAACTGGGACATCGAAGGTAGTAATGAAAGCATTAGGATTTATACAGAATGTACATGAAGATATTCTGGTATCTTCTCGATTCATTCACTGGCTTTGCTTGGTTGGAAAATGAACGAATCAACGTATTCCTCTTTTAGCCTGAGGTGAGCATGGAATAGTCAGAACTCTACTTTGTTAACAGTAGCAATTCAGTGTTGGTACACTAAGGATATTCCTTAAATCATTCTACTATTCTATTGGCTTATAACATGTCATATTTGCTCTTTCACATAGCTCATTGAAGTGAGAATCAATCTCCCAAAGTTATATGTTAATAATTGGTTTTCTGCGTAAACTTAATGTATCGTCTTCTAAATGCAAGGGATTATTAAGGGGCCTGTTATATCTGAATCTGAGTATTGTAACTAGTCAACTTACAATATATCTTGTTTACTTTTTCTCCTATGTATGCTAAACAGACTTTATTATCAGCCTATTTACCCATATTTCCATAAGCTGATTGTATATGTAGGTCAGTATTTTCTCCCACGTACATATTTTGCATCCATGGAGTATCGACAGATGAGAGCACAATAATAAAAATCATATAAATAGTGCTTGATTCTCATTTTATACGAGTATAACATCACCAAAATTTCGCACGTAAATTTTCAACGCAATGTTTTGCATTTTGATGGACTAGACAATATGAGTTTTGACGCTGTGTGTAATTTAAAATTAGTATTGCTTTTGAAAACAGTGATACCTTCTAGATTTATCGTTGTATTTATTTTCAAATAGATCAAGAGTCTTTGTAATGGTTCACTTTTAAACATAGAATTCTTTTTTAGGTTTGGGATTATGAGACTGGAGAGTTTGAGCATACCTTAAAAGGCCATACAGATTCTGTTCAAGACGTAGCTTTTGATCCGTCAGGAAAGTTTTTGGCTTCATGCTCCGCCGACATGCAAGTTAAATTATGGGATTTTACAATCTATCAGTGCATCAAAACTCTGACTGGTCATGATCATAATGTATCCAGTGTAGCGTTTCTACCTTCTGGCGACTTCTTAGTCAGTGCAAGTAGAGATAAAACGATTAAAATGTGGGAAGTATCTACAGGGTATGATGACCGATTTTCTCAGTGTTCCCATGTAGTTTATTTTGTATTGTTAGTAAAAACATGCTTTTTATTTTAGTAAGAAAAGGTTTGCTGTCTTCCTAGAAATCTGGATTCACTCAAATATTTTGTGTTAGTGATCTAAAACACCTTGAGTATTTTACTTATCACGTGAATAATTGTACTGCAGAAATTGAAGCACTCGATCTTGTAATCGATTATTTGCTTCTTTAAGTTGTAGTATATTATCATTGAAAGTACATATACACTAATCAGAATATGAAGGTCATATATTCCGAATCCATACAATTAATGAATGTTCTTTTTTGATCGATTTTCGGCCTGCATCAACGAATGTCGTATGATCACTAGATTTCTTTTAGGTCACAAGATCCAAGTAAGATCACCAACGTTAATCTATACATATTTCGAAAACCATATCATTCTAGTTTAATATTTGAAAAGTCTTATTTCTTGGTTTTAATCCAAGAAATAATTTCTTGAAATAGCTGCATCAACCAATTTTTTACTTTTTTCGCAGCGTAAATTCGAAATTCAGCGTTTCTTTGCATAAATGTAGGTTATTGTACAGTCTTGAAATTTTCTCAATCAGGCAGTTGGTTAGGTTTAAGAATGGTTCTTCAAGTCAATGGATAGATTTTACTAGCATATACGAAAATAGAAAGCTACACTTGGAAGCTGTCAGCCAGTCAATCATCAGAACAAAAACTAGCACATGTTCTTTGGTTTAATTTCGCACAACATATGTAAATAAAGCTATATCATCATTACTACTACCAATACTACTGGTTAGTCAATAGATTGGATCTATTTTGATGCGTTTGTTGATTAATCATTTCCCTGAGTGACAAGCTTTTAAAAATTCTCTAGTGTTTTTAGTATTGTCCCCAAATGCTCCTGGTACGGCCGAAGGGGGGAGGCAGCTCTCCTCGAAATGCTCTCACATGGTCACGCGTAGATAGCCACTGCCAGGGAAGTCCTACTCACTACCTTCTAGAGAAGGGAATGTTGTTTACGAAATTGAGAAGACGAAAAGCGAATGTCCGACGCTTTAACCGGGTTGGTGGACACGGAGAGTCCACCTAGGGGAGTTGGAAAACCCTGATTCCAAACCAATGGTGTACATGGGCTCCAGTATCCTGAGGGAACAAATGGTGTATGAACCAATCGTTGGTCACCGGCCACCATGGGACCTCATCTTCTAATGTTGCTCCACTGCCTTGTGAATTAGACTTGTAGGTCGGATGCTCCGGGTGTGGCCCCATAAGAATACCACCTACTTCGGTGTGGGTACTCGCGCAGTATCACAGCTCTGACACATATAGAATTATTTGTGTGGCGTATATATATATTTGGTGTCTTGTACCAATGTTTGTGTGTTTAAATAAATAAATTCCTTCTATCCATGATCTAAATATTTTTCTAGTCGAATTTATGTTTGCAGTTGTCCACATGCATGGATATAAGCGATTATATGTCGTGGCATTTGACCGCTAATTGATATTCATTCAGGCGAAGTTGAAGGGAGCGTATACCAAACAAAATGGACGCGGTCAAATGCTGTGACACATCTTTGTATATATCAATGCATGTGGATAACTGCGAACACATTCGAATAAAAAAATGTTTAAATTTTGGATAGAAAGAATATTTAAAACACTAGAGAATTTTAAGAAGCTTGTCACTCAGGTAAATCAGCAATCAACAAACGCATCGAAATCGATTCAATCTATCAACCAATTGGAAAAATCATGGACAAACATAGAGCAAATAATCAGATCAAAGGGAGATACAATGATGATCAAGGACGACAGGAAAAGATTTGAGTCATATATGAAGAAATTCGAACACTTCACTTCTACTTGAGATTTGTTCTTATGATGTTGTTCAGAAGAACAATGAATGCTCCACAAACAAACCATCTAACTCATAGAACAAAGCTTCACCTAAATCATCAATCTGAGCTACAAATTATCTCTACTATTTCAGTACTGAGTGTTAATTTGATGCTGCTCAACACTGATTAACACTTGGTTTTTATTAAGCTTGCACATTTTATTGTAGTCGTTCAACGATGTATATTCTCAAACATATATATTTATCTTTCGCTTATGATAACCCAAATAACCTGTATATATAGTATCTATTCTATTTGTATAAACCTTCCTATTTTTCATGGAAAAAGTTAGTAATGCGTACTACGCTTAACACTTTATAAAATAGATTTTCTCGTCATAACCATTTAGTTTAGAAATGGTTAGCCAGAAATAGCAACAGGAACTAATAAGTTATGATAAAGATGATCTTTTAGGAGAATATGACATTCTTTGCTATCGACACAGAAGTTAGTTTAATTTTGTTAAGTCAACAGTACACAAGTCAAAGTTCGGTCTACTTCAATGTCTGACATTAGATGAATTATTAGATAGATGCTTCAGAGCAGTCATAATTAAAGCATATCACCAATCTATGAATTCACCGATTCTTTATCTAAATCATATGAGTAACTAACGTCCATTGGGGAGTGGAGATTAGCAGCTACAAATATCGATTATCCAATTAAAATCGACGGAATCGCCTTTGAATATGTGGACCGTTAAACCCTATAGTGATTAATCTTTATTATTCATACTGTTATGTCCTAGGGAAAATTAAATTACTGGTAACTTCTGTGAACTATGAATGGACTAATATTACATATATATTCTTATTGTATAACCATTCAGTAACTAGATTGTGCATATCTATATTCCTTTTATTATAAGCTTTTATTTGACCTATAGAAAATTATGATATGATTTATCATTCTTAAATTATGCTCAGTTTATTGAATAAAGTCTCCCACATTCACAGCCACTTTTTGGCTTGATATTGTGTAAATCTTCTGTTTTATGGTGTGATGCGGTCAGTTTGTCTGGTATATAAACCAAGTATGTTTGAAATAAATGATTCGTATAGTGGAAGCTGATATTAGTGTTCTGAACTCAACTGTCAGGGCTAGGAGAAAAAAAGTGTAGTGAACAAGAACACTAATGGGGATAATCGAATCTATTTAACACAAAATTACAGGACTTGTTAATAAAATCTAACAATTATAATGTAAATGCTTAATTTGCAAAATGTCCACCAATTGTCTCAAAATGACTCAGACTTCATTGTCCTTGCATTTTCATATATATTTCACTCTGTTTCGATTCTTTACTGTTCGATCCTCTAGTCTCTCTGCTGCCAGACCTTCTGTTCACGACTAACATCATATACTACTTATGTCAATATAAGTAGCACACACCACAAAAGGACCAGTATGGATGCTAGGCTGCTCATACTGGTCGAACATCATTGGTTTGACACAGTGCTAAAATCGCATAAGTCGTATTCCGATCGGCGAATAAGTCGCGTGATAATTAGCCGGGCTAAAATTCGCAACACATACAATGCTAAAACAGCCTAGAATTAATCAGTTTAGCTCTTCTGCCTTATTAACTGTTGAAGGAATGTTGAACATTTTTAAAGCGTTTTTGTCATGGATTTTTTCAGTAGGTGCTTATCGATTACTTTTCGCCTTATTTAAATTTGTATTTTTGCCAAACAACTACCTTGTCTTGAATCTTTAGATATTGTACGAAGACTTTCATCGGTCATACCGAGTGGATTCGATCAGTTCGTCCAAGTCCAGAGGGGAATCTATTAGCCAGCTGTTCCAATGATCATACTATTCGAATCTGGTCTGTAGAATCGCGCGAATGTCAAGTTGTACTGCGTGGTCATGAACACGTAGTTGAATGCATTACTTGGGCTTCTCATCCACAAAGTATATTAGCAATAACTAGTTCTGCGTCCGAAGGTGGCGATTCTACTAATTTTACTAATGATGGATTCATCAACGCCACAACCAATGGAATTCCTGTAGATTTAAATTCTTTACCTTCTAGTATGAATTCATCTTTGTTACTTGTATCTGGTTCACGCGATAGGACTATTCGTTTTTGGGATGTAAATATTGGTATTTGCTTGTTTGTTCTTGTAAGTAGTTTTTATACTGTTTTCTGATACTTTTGTTTTGTATACTTTGTCTTAACTGGTGATTCACTGATTGTAACAAACGCATCATCACTCACTGGAATTTACCAAGTTTGTTATATTTCTGTTATTCATAACTATGTGTGACTTGCCATTCTTAACCATTCTTGAAGAAAATATACCAGTTGTTGCATAGGATTTCCAATTCAGTATTTCCTTGAGAACGATGTTAAGTTCATTAATCTTGAACACCTGAATATTCTAACCACTGTAACCAGACTACAATGCAATATTCTTTTGATGACTTTCTAGGAGTAGTAGCTAGATTATAGATTGACTTTCTAAAGAGGTTTATCATATTATAGGGATTTGTTTTATCATTAATATGTAGTGATTAACTTGGAAGTACTCAATGCAACATTGTATGCGTTGATTAAAATCGTTGTCACACTATTTAGGCTCCTTTAATTACGATGCAAGTTGATTTGCTCACATATCTGTTTTTGCGTTCTCGGAAATGGTCTTGGTGATCTTTGCATTTTGATTTACAGCATTTGGAGCGCTTTTTACCATTTTGATGTTATTGAACTTTAACAATCCAAAAGTCTTCACAAGTACAACCAACATGTATTGTGGTAAAAAAAACAACTGACACTAGCGTTTTTTTAAGAATAATAATAAACGCATTTTGCTAAAGAAAATTAGAATCATGTCTGAACTCAATGAGTTCAATCCCATAACCCAGTGATATATTACAGCATTAAACCTAGATAAATCCTATTATCATTATACTAATTTTCCACCGCAATGTATGCCATGATATACAGTGTCGTGTCTCAAATTTATTTTATTTTTAGCCTACATGAAGTTAATATTTGTTTGACGAATAGATGTGGTTCGATACACTTACTGACTTATGGTTGTTACATACAAGTAGTATGACATTAGGTTAATTGTCGTTGTTAGCGGGGTATAAATTGAATCCAAGTGTGTTCCGTGTGGAATTACGTTAGCATATTCTGGCCATTTCCGCTGGGAAGAAGAATATCTCATCAAGATATCAAAGAAAGATCTGAGCAAAGGTGAGAACTCAGCTACAGAAGCATCACACTACTATCAGTACCAGAAAACTTTTTTCACAGAGTGTTGCTGAACCGAATAAAAGTTTCAGTTAACATCCAGCTTCAAGATCAACAGGCCGGATTCCGTAAGGACCGGTTGTTCACAGACCGAATCGCGACACTACGCATCATCGTTGAACAATCAATTGAATGGAAATCGTCACCATACATCAAATTCCTTGACTATGAGAAGGCGTTTGACAGAGTGGATAGGAAAACCTTATGGAAACTTCTCCGACACTACGGTGAGCTTGAGAAAATCGTCGACATCATCCGGAATTCACACGACGAACTACGCTGCAAAGTAGTGTATGGAGGACACCTTACAGATGCATTTCAATTAAGGACCGATGTCAGACAAGGCTTCTTACTATCGTCTTTTCTCTTTCTTCTGGCGGTCGACTAGATTATGAAGACCTCGACATTTGAGGGGAAGCATGGAATACAATGGACAGGTTGGATGCAACTAGACGATTTGAACTTTTCTGATGACCTAGCTTTTCTATCCCGTACACATAGACAAATGCAGGTCAAGACAGCCACTGTGACAGAAGCCTCAACGTACACAAGGGAAGGGCAACATCATTGAATACAACACAGAGAACACTAACTCAACCACACTCGATGGAAAAGCTCTGGAACAGGTGGAGACTTTCATGTACTTGGTCAGCAGCATCATCAGTGAACGAGGAGGATCGGATGCAGACGTAAAGGTAAGGAACTCAAAACAATTGCCAACCAATATAAAATTCAGAATCTTCAATACGAACGTCGGGACATTTCCACTGTACGGAGATAAAACTTGGACTACTACTACAACCATCATCAAAAAGATACAAGTATTTATAAACAATTATCTACTCAAGATACTGAATGTCGTTTGACCGAATACCACGAGCAACAGCCTACTGTGGGAAAGAATAAACCAGCTTCGAACTGAAGAGGAAATTGGGGAGATACGCTGGAAGTGGATAGGACATGCATTACAGAAATAACCCGATTGCATCACGGGGCAAGCGCTTGCTTGGAATCCTGAAAGGAAACGGGAAAGAGGAAGGGTAAAGAACACTGCACCGGGAATCGGAAGCAGACATGAAAAAATGGCTTCCGAATGCCCTGGTACGGCCGAGGGGGGGGAGGCAGCTCTCCTTCTCGAAATGCTCTCACGTAGTCACGCGTAGATAGCCACTGCCAGGGAAGTCCTACTCACTACCTTCTAGAGAAGGGAATGTTGTTTACGAAATTGAGAAGACGAAAAGCGAATGTCCGACGCTTTAACCGGGTTGGTGGACACGGAGAGTCCACCTAGGGGAGTTGGAAAACCCTGATTCCAAACCAATGGTGTACATGGGCTCCAGTATCCTGAGGGAACAAATGGTGTATGAACCAATCGTTGGTCACTGGCTACCATGGGACCTCATCTTCTAATGTTGCTCCACTGCCTTGTGAATTAGACTTGTAGGTCGGATGCTCCGGGTGTGGCCCCATAAGAATACCACCTACTTCGGTGTGGGTACTGGCGCAGTATTCCAGCCCTCAGTCATACTAATGATTATTGCTACTGGCCTCATTGCTATTATGTGGTTCATTTGGATCTGTGCCCCCTTGTACCAACGTTTATGTGTTGAAATAAATAATAATTAAAAAGAAGGAACAGCAGCTGTGTATGATTGCCCTGGAGACAGTTAGATGGGGAATGCTGGTTGACGGCCATTCTCCTGTATGAGTGGTAACAGGTGTAATTAAGTACGCTGGCCTTTTCTTAGCCAACTATCGCTATCGAATATTTAGAGAAGACTCAAGAATCTTGCTATGTATAATTATAAATATACTAATGTTTTTCGTATTTTGGTTTCTACTTTCACTCAACCTGTTCATTTGAAATCTAATTACGTCCATGTTCAGCTGTGTTCTGGTTTTGGGTGCGTGTTGAGTTAAGTAGCGTCCGAAGAATACCAGTAGTAAGAGTAGTCGACTTCATAACAGACCGACTTTGATGAGATGAAAGTTTTTTATATCTTGGTTGACTTGTTATGTGTAAATGGTTGATTCAGTCCAATATCTTCTCTGTTTACGCTGTTTTTTTATACCTTTTTATGCCACAAGTTTTAAAATTTAAACAGGTGTTGATGGTTGAAAATGTTTATAACTGGTAGCCATTTTTTAAATATTATCAATGGTACTCAGCTATACTACCTGATAATGTAATTTTATTTTACTATGACTTGAGCTTTTTTGTAGTAACTCAATTTATGATTCCATATACATCAATAATTTTTTTTAGATCGGTCATGATAATTGGGTTAGACAACTTGTATTTCACCCTCACGGTAGACTTTTATTGTCTGCCTCTGACGACAAAACAATTCGAGTTTGGGATTTGAAAAATCGGCGATGTCACAAAACATTAAATGCCCATTCACATTTCGTTACCTCTTTAGGTGAGTTAACCAATAATTTAAATGATTAAAAATCGATTTCACTTTTTGTCATGTGAGGCACTTCAAATGAACGAATATTTTGTAGATTAAAGTTAAAATCTAGATATCAGGTAATTGAATTTTGTTCGTGGTTTCAGTCCTTCAAATATGATCTGAAATACTTATTTTTTAAAGCTCTATGTCGTTTCATAGTTCAATATTTTTAATAATACATACAAACTTTAAATGCTAAAAAGAAATATCCCCTATGGCCATTAATAAAATGCTGGAATGTCGACTTTCAATGAACAATAAGTGTTTACAGAATACTTTTGTAATACTGATTTAAACAGTAACAGTAATTAGTTGTAGTGTGCATGTTATGAGGATTATAATGGAAATTTAATCAATAAATACAATTCAGAGGATATGCTATGAATTTTAGTTGTGATTCTTTTGAATTTTCATCATTGAAAACAATGTTTTATTGTTTTGTAAATTCCGATGTACATAGTCTTCAATTTTTACTATAATTCTCCTATAAGTTACCAATAATTGTGAGTCAAGTAAGGAATCTAATGGCTGTTTAGACGTTGCCTGATGATATGTCTGGCTAGACATCTTAGTCTTTCTACGATGAAAGTATTTTATATCTCATTCGGTTTATGATAATTTATGTGATGCATGTAAGAACTTTCATCTACATTTGGACAAATAGTTTCACAGCATTTGGGCGCCGAGTTGTGGTATAAAAACATTCAGTTCTCGCGGTGAACGAACACAAACTTTGCTTAAGTCCATATATTATTAATAGGGGAGTTGGAACTCAATTAGCTGTCCTTAAGCAACTAATAATTAATAAGTAAACGTGAACTCTATTCCAATCTAATCGATCACTTGTTATCTGGAAAACAACAGTTTCACTCATCTGTTCTAATCAGTTGGTTTATCTGAATATTTGATGAACAATTAACTGCAACAGCAAAATAAAAACATTCGTTCATTTGTTTTTATTTTAAAACAATTAGTCCCTTTGACAAATTTCGCTAGTGCAATGAGAAGACGAATATAGAATAGTACAAGTAGTAACAGAATCAGTGGTAATAGGAAGGATTAAACATCCAAGATACGATTCGAAAAGAAAATATAAGTTAATGAAATAAAAACCATAAACTTGAAACTTTGATAAAATACAGAACTTATTATACCATCAAAAAATGTTTCAAAAATCTTGTGACATGTAATGATAAATAGTAAGAAATCACTGATCGATTCAATAATATCAGGAGAATTAATCGTATAATTTTAAGTCACACAAACTCAATTACATTAATTTTAATTCAGTATTATAGACTATTTGTGCTATTAATGTCTCCTTTCTGAGGAATACACATGTTTCTATGTAATTATTTTAATTGTTTTACTGATATTATCATAATTATTTAATAGTGTTTTTTTCTATGCGTTTATCTAATTCTCTTTTATTTTATTATGACAGATGTTAACCGTTTAGCTCCCTATGCTGTAACGGGTAGTGTCGATCAAACAATTCATATATGGGATTGTCGATAAACAATCATTACTATGATATGCATTAATTTTTTTGTATTCATTGAAATAGGCAAAACACGAAGTGCGTAATGTTGATCTACTTATATGTATGTGTTCTTGTGGTTTATTGGGTTCTTGAATTTTTCAATTGACGTCCTAATCTATGGAAATTCACCTCTTTTAAGCGAACGCAGAAGTTGATTTGTATTTAGGATTTATATCTCCACACTAACACATTATTATTATCCTCAGTCAACTATAACTCAGAATCTCATCCAAATATGTTTTGTGTTCAGCTCACGCTTCTGTCACTATCAATATACATAGATATGATAAAGTACATTCATTTTTACAACCAAATTATGGCTGACCGGTTGTTTTTTTGTTATGATTATTATTTTTGTTTTCCCTCACGTCCATTTTCAGATTTAAAACAAAAAAAACATTTTAAATTCTTTTGTACATGTATTTGATCAGTTTTGCATCTTTTATTTCCTTATGTATACTTCAGTTGTTTTTCTGTTCATCCTTATATTATTGTGTGTTAAATTGTTAATGTTTTATGCGCTCTTTTGGTTCAGTTGGATTTCATCATCGTCATGCTATTGCTACTACAAGAGTATAATCTGTCACAACTGCCGACTTAACAATAAGACCTGTTGTTATATCCGATTACACTGCCTTCCAGTGTCAGACCTAAAACACATTTAGACTGAAAGGAAAAATTCTATGTGATATGTTAATCTGTTTTAAGTTTAAATAATTTTCTCGCTTATATTTACAGTGAATCAGTCTGGAAAATTTTTAAATTCTATTTTACCTAATAATGTTTCAAATCACATATATATTAGACATTTGCCTATTTAGCTTGTGGGAGGTATTTTTCCGATGCAAATGACATATACTACTGACTATATTCCTCATTTCCTTGCTTTTTTGTGTTATTGTGTATAGCTAAAACTGTATCATCAGGCGCTTTTAGATGTCTTCCCAGATCATTGGTTTAAAGAGGTACTGATATTTAACCTGAAAATCTATTTAGTTCTGTAATCTTATAATTTCACTGAAGATTCGATGTGTCAATAAAATTTCCATTGATTTGGCTTATTGAAATCATTTAGGTTGATGATTGAATGTTGGTCGTTGAAAATAAGTTTTCGCCTTACAATCGCAAGATATTTTGTAAATGTACTGTCGCTTATTAGATTTCTTTCCCACTTATATATCGGGACTAATCAATTTTACTATTATTGGATAAGTCGACATCTTGAATATTTTAAGCTTTAATTTTAGTAATATCTTTAATATCTCATTTGTCATGAGTACGACAATGGTCTTATGTTTTTCGTGATCTTTAGCTTATGATAATTAACAAATGAAAGGTTATCATGCTTCGGTTTTATCTTCGACATAGCAAAATACCAGATTACTTGGGATTCTTGTTATGTTATTAAACATAGCATAAAATACAAACAGTGGAAGTCCTGTTGGTTCAAAGAATACCAAATACACTTTTTAAATGAGATTGAATATCCAAATTATGATCAGTGATTGCGGTAAAAGTGGATTAGGAAGTATAACAACTTAGAAATAATTGCTATGATACTGAACGTCTATAACACTTTTGAGTGAATGAAAACGCTGTATGAGTGACACTGATTATACTGATAGGATTTAGAAGCTAGATACAAATCGTATGAATAAATGTCTGCACAGTTCGTAAATATTTGTCTAATCATTTGAGTTCAGGGCCAAGAGGATGACAATAAGTTGATAAAATGACGCCTCCCCCTCAGCTGTGATGCATCAAATTTCAAGTTGCACTGACATTTCTGTGAGGGCCTAATCAAATGACGTCACAACTTCGCCAACGTTAGTTTTACATATTCTATGAAGCTACTTTAAATATACCAAGCAGTGTTGTTAGAGATAAATATCTCGAGTTAAGATAACTTTGTTCTTCAATACTACTACTTCTCAGATCCCCCTCACGCTACGTTCTCCAATTGTTTGTTGTTATATTCGTCTTTCTGGATATATCTCACTTTATATCACGTTTGTAATTTCTCCGGATTTCATGGTGGAATATGCCTACTTTTTAAGTACGTTATTGATGATTGAACACAGATTCCTCATCAGTGGATTTATTTTGCTATAAACTTGTAAATTACTTTTATGTTAATCTATATTCTGAATTCATCAGAAATATTTGCTCTCATATTATACGAGTTTTCAATATCACGTGTAATTTACCACCTTCAAAGAACACGGTGCCAGTTTTCGGAGATTATTTTCCCACTCCTTTGCTATCAACCAAACAGGATAGTGAAGGTTTATTTTGCTTGAGAGACGAATTAACAGTAAAAAGGAATTTACAGTAGAATATAGTGCGAACCTATGACTTAATAGTAATGATTAAGTATTCACTCTGTCGTAGTTTTCGTATGATGACAGAAGAGACGAGAATTCAGTATATAAACAAAGCAGTTAATGCAAATACTTAAATTTACTCAAATTCCATAAATATTTAAATTACCAGGTAGTAATGTAATTTGACTTGTGATGAGGATTTATTGTCATAAATAGTTTCTTAGTTCTGCATCTTGTGTGACAGCTTACTGAACAATTATTACGATGATATCAGCCTCTTTACTACTATATATACCTGATCCAGAAGAATGTGCCTTATAAGAACACCAGCTGAAGGAATGTAGTAGATTTATGAAGGTTGCTTTGCGTCAAAAGCTGGAGTTAGCAAGGAAATAACTCCTACATCCCAAATGTTTGGAATGCTGTCAAGTATGTAAAAGTTGAAGATTACCGGAAAGCAGAAACCATCCACAATTGGAAGTCAATAATAAGTATTTTAATGGGAATCAACAGCTGTTGGAGGAATAATTCAGACTGTCAGCGAGGACGAATTGGTTGATTTAAAAGATGTTGACAGTACCAGTAATTTGAAGTGACTAGATTTCCTGATCAATGCAAAACTGTGTATTTAGATCAGAAATCAACTTGGGTGGAGTCGATGTTATTTCACAAAATCACGTTACGACAAAAATGGCTTTGTCATCTTTACTAAGATCTTGTGCCAGTTATGTAGATGAAAAATATTTAGTTTCTCCAGATTTTCGTTCAAGATAGAACAAAGGTGAAGAAAATGACAGGTAGATTAGTTTTGATCTGCAATCTCATTTTGGTTTCTCTTTATCACTTGATGAAGCTGATAGAAATTCATTTAATTTTAGCACTGTATATATGATTATTAAGCTACCATAATTGTTACTGTTGTCGAATATCGTCCACATGTTGAATTCTCATCCACAACCAAGGCAAACAAACCTTATTTTTCCCTTTAAACAAACCAAAATCTGTGCGTTAGTTAACCAAAGTAAGTACACTGATTATGATAGTAGTAGTAGTAGAGCGTTAGTTAACCAAAGTTAGTACACTGGTTATAATTAGTAGCAGTAGTAGTAGTAGTAGCAGTAGTAGTAGTAGTAGTAGTAGTAGTAGTAGTAGTAGTAGTAGTAGTAGTAGTAGTAGTAGTAGTAGTAGTAGTAGTAGTAGTAGTAGTAGTAGTAGTAGTAGTAGTAGTAGTAGTAGTAGTAGTAGTAGTAGTAGTAGTAGTAGTAGTAGTAGTAGTAGTAGTAGTAGTAGTAGTAGTAGTAGTAGTAGTAGTAGTAGTAGTAGTAGTAGTAGTAGTAGTAGTAGTAGTAGTAGTAGTAGTAGTAGTAGTAGTAGTAGTAGTAGTAGTAGTAGTAGTAGTAGTAGTAGTAGTAGTAGTAGTAGTAGTAGTAGTAGTAGTAGTAGTAGTAGTAGTAGTAGTAGTAGTAGTAGTAGTAGTAGTAGTAGTAGTAGTAGTAGTAGTAGTAGTAGTAGTAGTAGTAGTAGTAGTAGTAGTAGTAGTAGTAGTAGTAGTAGTAGTAGTAGTAGTAGTAGTAGTAGTAGTAGTAGTAGTAGTAGTAGTAGTAGTAGTAGTAGTAGTAGTAGTAGTAGTAGTAGTAGTAGTAGTAGTAGTAGTAGTAGTAGTAGTAGTAGTAGTAGTAGTAGTAGTAGTAGTAGTAGTAGTAGTAGTAGTAGTAGTAGTAGTAGTAGTAGTAGTAGTAGTAGTAGTAGTAGTAGTAGTAGTAGTAGTAGTAGTAGTAGTAGTAGTAGTAGTAGTAGTAGTAGTAGTAGTAGTAGTAGTAGTAGTAGTAGTAGTAGTAGTAGTAGTAGTAGTAGTAGTAGTAGTAGTAGTAGTAGTAGTAGTAGTAGTAGTAGTAGTAGTAGTAGTAGTAGTAGTAGTAGTAGTAGTAGTAGTAGTAGTAGTAGTAGTAGTAGTAGTAGTAGTAGTAGTAGTAGTAGTAGTAGTAGTAGTAGTAGTAGTAGTAGTAGTAGTAGTAGTAGTAGTAGTAGTAGTAGTAGTAGTAGTAGTAGTAGTAGTAGTAGTAGTAGTAGTAGTAGTAGTAGTAGTAGTAGTAGTAGTAGTAGTAGTAGTAGTAGTAGTAGTAGTAGTAGTAGTAGTAGTAGTAGTAGTAGTAGTAGTAGTAGTAGTAGTAGTAGTAGTAGTAGTAGTAGTAGTAGTAGTAGTAGTAGTAGTAGTAGTAGTAGTAGTAGTAGTAGTAGTAGTAGTAGTAGTAGTAGTAGTAGTAGTAGTAGTGGTAGTAGTAGTAGTAGTAGTAGTAGTAGTAGTAGTAGTAGTAGTAGTAGTAGTAGTAGTAGTAGTAGTAGTAGTAGTAGTAGTAGTAGTAGTAGTAGTAGTAGTAGTAGTAGTAGTAGTAGTAGTAGTAGTAGTAGTAGTAGTAGTAGTAGTAGTAGTAGTAGTAGTAATAGTAGTGTAGTGAACATGAACACGGATGGGGACAATCGATTGTATTTAGCACAAAGATTACAGACTATCTCAATAAAATGTGATTGCCATAATGTCAATCGTCAATTTGCAAAATATCATTCCATCATATCAAACTGTACTGTTCCCGTTGCAAACACTAATCCATTGTCTCCCATTCCATTGTACATGTGTTTTCTTACAATTCCATTGTGCTCTTGCTGTTCCTTTCTTGATCTTCGCCATCTTCTGCTGCCGGACCTTACGTTTATTTAACGCACGTTATATACTACTTATATGAATATAAGTAGCTCACACCACTGTAGTAGTAGTAGTATAGTGAATAAGAACACTAGAGGGGACAATCGAATCTATTTAACACAAAATTACAGGACTTGTTAATAAAATCTAACAATTATAATGTAAATGCTTAATTTGCAAAATGTCCACCAATTGTCTCAAAATGACTCAGACTTCATTGTCCTTGCATTTTCATATATATTTCACTCTGTTTCGATTCTTTACTGTTCGATCCTCTAGTCTCTCTGCTGCCAGACCTTCTGTTCACGACTAACATCATATACTACTTATGTCAATATAAGTAGCACACACCGCAGCAGTAGTAGTACAAGTGGTGTGATTATTCACTTGTCTAGATGAACACATGGACACTGTTTTGTTAAGTTTGAACATTTCTCAAGTCAATATCATATCCCTTATTAAAAAACAGAGATTCTTTGGACGCACCAGTTGCCATTATCAGAGCCAGTAAGGGTGCATTTTTCTCCCAATTCAATCATACAAATATCTTTAGTGTTTGAATATAATAGACATTATTTATACTGTATTTGCGGTATCGGTGTCCATTATCAGCGACACAACTAATTACCTGAAACTTTCATTAGAATCCCATGGTGGTATATATTACCGAATTATAGTGAAGTAAGTATGATAATGAAGAGCATTGGTGATGTTGGTGAATTTGAGTCTTGATGGATTCACTGTTTGGAGCTCCTACGAAAACATGGATAGCAATTACTTGGGAGGCAAGATTTGTTCGCGGAACGGTTATGTTTTATTAAACTATTGGTTGATTTACAGACGTTTGAAATAATTATTTTGCCTTGAAGTAATTGATTCTCCTAGGATTTAACTCGAATATAAGAAGGATCATGAATAATAATTAAAAGTATCAGAATTAATGTACTAACTGGGAATTACCAAAACAGTGTAATTCACGACAGATAGAACCAGATGAGCCCAGTCGAACGTATTGTATTTTATAT